AACCCCATCCCCTGACCCCGAGCACCAGTGACCCCAAAGCTCCGCGGGATCTGTCCTTACCCAGCACGGTGATGGTGGTGTAGATCTCCTGGGGAGGGTCGGTGTAGAGCTGGCAGAAATACCTCCCTTCATCAGAGATGGAGACGTTGGTCAGGGACACACGGAGCTCGCTGTTGGAGAAGTTCACCAGCTGGAACCTGCTGTCCTTGAGGGCTGTGGGGAAACACAGCCTGGGTGAGGGGGGGACAGAGGGAATGTCCCCTTCTTCCACACCACAACCCCAAAGATCACAAAAACAGCACATCCAGGTGACCATTSACAGTGTCTCACTGTGGCACTGTCTCCAGAGATTTCAGTTTGGGTATAAAGCAGCACAGATAATCCTGAAATGTTCAGTTTTTGGTCTGAAGAGTTTATCTCTGAGAACACCGCACTGTCTTGATGTCACCCTGTTCAATTTGTTTGCCAGGGCTAAATATCTGGCACTCCACTGCAATTCAGCCTAAATTACAACAATCAATTGCTATTGCAAAGGAGGATGCTCTGACTTTTAGAGGGGACGGTGAAGTTTTCCATTCAGGAGGAGATTATGATTGCCTGTGTCACCCACCWCCACAGAACCAACTGCACTGGGAGWGTCCAGCACTGCACAAACAGGAGAGATTTTGGCAAATGCCATGTCCTGAGTGCAAGTGAGGCATGGAGGAGTCCTGAGCAAAGGAGGAACTTACGCCTGAAGTCTCTGAAGTAGATGGTCTGCCTGTTGGGGTTCAGCAGCTGGATCACCGAGTCGTCGCTGTTCTTGACGCGGCAGCTGATGGTGGCCACCTCCCCCTCCACCACTGTCACATCCTCCGTCACCAARTTCTGCCCATCACCTGCACGACACAGCAAAGATGCCACTCAAGATCAGAAATGACATCTGGGGGTTTTTTGGGGGGAATGAAAACCTCCACTGGCACCATTGGTGGAAAATCAACCGCRGAGCCATCGAGTGGTCCCTCCGTGGAGGAGCAGTGGGAAAGGAGCTCTGTGATGGGAACAGAGGAACAAGGACTGCTGCCACACACAGAAACACCAAAAAATGCCCTCCTCTCCCACAGGACAAACTTGTTAAATCACCCTGGAAGAACAAGTGGCTGAAAGAAGCACTTTTCCTTTGGCTGCAGCAGACAGACTTGAGGGAATCACTCGTTACTCACTCYGTGTAATCAGTAGGTGCAATTAATGTCCAGAGGCAGGGAAAKAACAGGATCCCATGCAATTATGCTGTGGGAGCCTTGTAATCATTTACAGGCCATCGCCCCAAAATCTCTTGTCCTAATGAGTGGAAGCATCACATCACCCCCACGCTGAGCATTCGCCTCCAACACCCGAGGACGCAGGGATGGGAGTGGGAAAACCACTTTGCATTTCAATTTCTCCAGAACTGTGAGGAATCAAAGCAGGAGAAATTTCGAGATGTTGATTGGCCATGTTCTAAATGAAGCCAGGAAATTTGAGCACTTGGCCACAGGTTGGTGGTCAGAGAATCCTCCAGTGCTACTCCACAGCTGCCTCGGCCACGAAAAACCCAAGAAAGCAGGATAAAGTTTGCACACAGCAAATCTGGGGTGGTATTTAAACCCCAGTTTTTCTTCATTTTTCTTTCTTTCCAACTTGTCTTTATTATTTGACATCCCTTGGAAATGTTTGACAAAAAGGTGCCTCGTTTGGCAAGATGGATAAACCATCAGACTCCTTTCCACGCCTGATGGGCARTGAGCTGAAGTTGGGGCACATTTTTCTGCCCTCTCAGTAAAAATTTTGATTCTCCAGATTGATGAACTCGGAGGAGCAACAAGAAAAATTTCTGTCAGTAACATCTGTACTGGAGCACAGAGCCCAGGCCCTGTGCAAGAGGGGCAATGACCCCATCCCAGAAATGTGCCTGGCTCCTGCTCTGCATTCTGTGCCTCAGCACGGGGCTGCTCCTGCTCACAGATTCCTTTTCTGACTGGAGGATGAGCATCCAGCCACCCCAGAATGTCAGCAGTACCCTGAACGTGGTGTTCCTGAACCCTGGGCACACACATTAATGGCAGCTTTGGCACCAATGCATTAATGGTTGGATTTGATAATCTTAGAGGGCTTTTCCAGCCTAAATGATTCTGCTCTCAAAYCCCAAACCCCTGTGCAGATCCCAAAGGAGGCACAGCAGAGCCCTGCCCTGCCTGCCCCATACCCTGCTGCCTGCACAGGCCCTGGCATCAATGAAATCAAACATCTCCAAAGTGGTTCAAGCAAAAATATTAAACATTACTAACTGCTTCTGGGGAATAATTTTATCAAACCCATTCAAAACAAGGTTCTTGCACAAGGATCAGCTTGATAYGTTCTCATAAACGCAATATTCCCTACAAATCATTAACAAAGCTATTAAGATTCGATTTCCATCTAAGCAATTATTGCCAGCATATTTTTTTACATTTACTTTAAAAGACTCAATCCTATTTTCAATTCATTAAACTGTTCCTTGCGTTTACTGAATTTTACATCAGCTTAGAAGACTATTTGAATTAATAAGAATTACAGTAGAAGTAATTTAGAAATAAATTATTTGAAGTTCAAACCACTGAAGCTTTTCAGGGATGSTGCTGTGTTAAAGCTGCCGAAGGATGGCTGCAGAGTGCAGCACCTCAGTCTGGGCTGGCAGATCCCTCWGAGAAGGATTTTATTGGGGTTAATGATGCTCAGGGAGCACAGGAGGACACGCTGAGCCCCTGCACAGCTCAGAGCAGCCGCAGCTCCGGGGCTTTGCTCTTTGTTCCCAATCCAAGTGTGTCCCAATCTGCTCTGCTGACCCCATCGTGCCTCACCACAGGCACCTGCAGATTCCCCTACACATTTTGGGGTATCCATTCCTGTCTGCTCCTGCTCACCAAGGCAGGAAAGCTATTTCTATGAGCAGCATTAATTACAAACTCTAAATTAAATAGAACTGCAACACAAAGCAAGAACTCTTTAGACCCATCCTCACTGACAACACCTCGAGAAGTTTCTCAGTAAATATTTACTGCCAGTGTATATGTATTTTGAAGAGCATTAAACACACACACAGCATGAGAATATTTTGGAACAGAAAAGGACAGGTTAGGGAGGAAGATGAAGTTTATGGACCCAACACGGAATCTCAGGAGTTGAGAGAAGCAAAGGAAAATTACTGTTGAGAACCAACATTAAATCCCCTGGCAACGCTTTGTGGGGTCACAGCACAAGCAGATCCAATGGAAAAMCCCAAGAGGAGGATATGGGACAGATTTTCATCTATTACACATAAAGAGACTGGGACAGCACAGTGTCCATGTGTCAGAGCAAAGCTTCCTGCTGGGACCCCAAAACCAGGGACAAATCCTCATCCCAGTGTGGACAGACAGACTCCAGGACAGACAGACTGCAGGACAGACAGACTCCAGGACAGACAGACTCCAGGGCTGGAGCTGTAAGTCCTGCCCTGGAGCAGAAGGCACTGCTGCAGATGGAGGAACAGGAACAGGAACAGGAGCAGGAACAGAATGAATCCCATTCTGGAGGTGTCCAGGGTGAGCTGCTGTCCACAGGCACCACAGGCACCGGTGTTAACAAGCAAGGAAACACCAAAATGGGTGTCTGCAGTGCCACAGGGGAGGGAAAACGCCATGTGTGCTTCCTTCATTACCCAAAGCAATTCTCCAGCCTCATTCACTGAATCTCCTCACAAGGTGAAAAACGACACCGTGTTYTGTACTCACTGGAAGGGGGAGTGAGGGGGGCACACAATGCTTGAGGGACGCTCTGGCTGCACCTGCACAATTAATTTTTGCACTTGTCTTGCTGCCTCAGAGCGCTGCAGTCTCTCCTCTTACGGCTGCAGACAGACACAGAYGAGTAAATTGTGTTTCAAACAAGTTCCCCTCAGCTGGACACAGCCCAGGGACCTTGGCTCATATGCAGTGGTCACATTTAAAATCAATTCTTTCTCCCTTGTAGGACACCGGGCTAGAGGGAAGCGTCGGGGGGAGAAGAGGGGAAGATTAAAATACGTGCTGGGGAGCACGATTTTTCAATTCCTATGGAATTCCTAACCACAGGTGTCCCAGCGTGAGCTGCAGCACTGCTGCCTCAGTCTTTCAGTTTTCCAAGGAAGAGGAGTTTTCATTACACCTGAACTATGTGAGCTGTAAACCTGAACAAAATTCCTCTTAATAGATTGAGTCAGAAGAAATAACTCACACAGACACACAAACTGTCTGTTCACGTGCTCAAGGAGGAAAGCAACACAATGCTGCATCCCCAGAATTAACACAATTTAAATGTCAACATTCATCTATCAGTTTCAAGTACCTAAAAGAAATGTGGTGGTTAAAGAGCCATCCAGAGCTGAGACAAGTGTGTTTAGAAACACTGAGCATCCACCTCCCCCAGGAGCTTTGTCTGCTTTGTGTTCCTTCTCCTCCCTGAGCTGAGCAGCTCCTCTGCTCTCTCATCCATCACTGAGAGCTTCATCTCTTCCCTTCAACACAAACATCACCATCAACTTCTKGGGAAGAGAATGGGAACTAAAGAGAACCTTGGTTGGGGACAGACCCAGGAAMAAGGAGGAACCCAAGGGCCATTTAAGCACTGTGCAGGTTTGGTTCCAGGAGGGAGAGGAGAACTGCAAAGGCAGTGCTGGGAGAAGCTGCAGGAGCTCTGTGCATCTGGGCTCGAGTCTGGAGAGTTTTACAAAGCTGCACTTGTCACACTTGAACTCTGCAGAAGAAGGGACAATCCACGCTGATTGTGCTGGCAAGGGAAGGCAATCRCTGCTGATGGAGTTATTTCATGGCATCTTTGTGCTGGGTGAGGGATGGCAGCAGATGGGAGCAGCTGCCCAAAAACAAAAACACAAACACACACAGACCCAGCCCTGGTGCGGGCGGGCAGAGCTGCAGGTCCTGGGACAGAGGATGGATCAGGTTGGGGTGAAATGCCCCAAACAACCCCTCCAATGCCAGCCTGGATCCCTCCAGGGCTGCCTGAAGCACACAGGACAGGTCCTCATCCTCTCAGATAAAGGTTCCTGTGAAAGGCTGGGGTGCAGAGAGGGGGCAGCCACTGCTYGTTCCACCCTGTACAACCCCAAAAAACCCTACAAAACCACGGAGCCTGGAGCCCACTGCACCTCCCAGGAATCCTTCTCTCAGCATGGCCCTCACCTCCCAGAGGAAAATGTTGTTTTCCATCAAGATTCACAACTAACCTTTCGAAACAGCAACTTTCTCTTCTAATAAGATGTAATTACCAGCTTTGTGACCCTGAGTCAAGCCTCTCTGAGATTTTCCTGCATTCAAGTAGCTCTTATTCCCTCTTCAGCATCTTCTCCATGGCCAGCAACARACTCAGCAACTCCAATTCCAAGGCAAAGAGCTCTTCAACAAAGTGATGGTGGCAAACAAATAGAATTCTAGAAAAATCTCCCTTTTGAGTTCGCTCTGTGCAGGTCTGTCGGATGCAATACACCACTGGGGAGCCTCACCCACAAAATCCCTACTGAGCATCAGGAGTATCAGGGACTTTTAGCAAAATTCACTGAGCCCAACTGGGCAGAGGGTGCTCAGTGGTGAAGGGAATGGGGTGCAGAGACTACAGCAAATTAATGCAGTAACACTCACCCAGGACTCGGATTTTTGAGATTTAATGCGTGTTCCCTTCCTTTGTGCTGCAGCCAGGTTTGACAGAACTGCTCAGAGAAGGGCACTGCTGACAGACAACGTGGCTGTGCCACATTTGGGATCCCCCAGTGATGCTCCAAGCCCCAGCTCCCATTTAGGAAGSAAAAAAGGAGGGGTGGGAGGAATTAGCATTGGCAGAATCTGTT